ACCTTTCCCGAAGGCAAAAATGATGGGCTGATTGTTCGCAAGCCGTTTAGTGTGGCAATCGACGCTCGCGGTAGAGCGTGGGTTGCCAACTCGGGCTTTGCCCCGATCGGTGTCGGCAACGTAGCCGTCTTGAAGCTGAATAGCCGAGGCAAGATCAAAGTCGTCGCCCAGATCGATTCGCCAGGTCTTGGACAAGCTCCTGATACCAATTTGCTTCGTAAGTATGGCGATTTCTCATCACCGAAGACGATTGCGATCGATCAGAAGGGAAATGGGTGGATCAGCAATTTCGAGTCGAATAAAGTCACCTTCATCGATCGTCGCACTTTTGAGGCAACCGACTTTGAAGCCGATCCGAGCACGCATGGTTGGGGACTTGCGGTTGATGGAAGCAATCAAATTTGGGTCGCCAGTTTCACCAACGACCCGAGCTCCAGTCCAAACGCCGCGATGGCTCCTCCTAGGATTTCGGTCATGCAGGGCAAGGGGCGAGATCGAGGTGAGTTGCTGTTTAGCTTCTCCAATCCTTCGTTCCAGCACATCACAGGTTTGCAGATCGACGCTTCGGGTAATGTTTGGATTTGTAACAACTGGACGCTCGACTCGACGAAACAGGACGTCATCGGTGGCGATGGGCTCGTGCAATTTATCGGAGTTGCGACGCCTGTTAAAACGCCACTTATCGGTCCCCCAGAAAACCCAGAGTTCTATCACCCACGCTTTGGCTTCGACGAGTTCGGCCCAAGCAAGTGGTTCCCGTTTGATCCATGGTGGTTCTTCTGGTAACTAATAAAAATAGGGCAACGCCTGTAGGTGTTGCCCTTTTTTATTTCGAAGTGTCGCGGCGTACATTTACGAATGTCGTAGCGCTTTGTCGGAGATGTCCTTGCGGCACCAGGCACCATCCCAGCGGATACATTTGACGGCCGTATAGGCCTTCAGCTTGGCGGCCGAAATGGTATCGCCGATTGCGGTAACGCCCAGCACGCGACCACCATTGGTAACCACCTGATCGCCTTCCATTTTGGTGCCTGCGTGGAATACTTTTACGTCTTCTAGCTTTGCTGCTTCCTCCAGGCCACGGATGGGCTTGCCTTTTTCGTAGCTGCCGGGGTAGCCCTCGGAGGCCATCACGACGCAAACGGAGGGGCGTGTATCCCATTCCGGAGGATCGATCGAATCGAGTCGCCCTTCGGCACAAGCTTCCAGGATGTCGACCAAGTCGGACTTCAGACGCATCAAGATCGGTTGGCATTCCGGGTCGCCAAAGCGAACGTTGTACTCCAGGACCTTCGGGCCCTGGTTGGTCATCATCAGTCCGGCGTAGAGGACACCTTGGAATGGGTTTCGGGCCCGCTTCATACCGTGGACGGTCGGAACGAGTACCTTCTCTTGGACCATCTGCATGACCTGAGGCGTGACTAGCGGGGTAGGGGAGTAGGCTCCCATGCCGCCGGTG